ATAAGCTATTAAGTATTTGGGTTGTCATTGATAAGATCAGTAAATATACCTACAGAACTTTTGCAGGTTTATTTTTACTTGCAATGTTTTACACATAGTACATTGAACTTGAAACTAGATAGTCTAACAAAACCACTTTCTAGGCCTCCAGGAGAATAGCTCCACCTGGCTACGGGATTGTACATACAGTATATACAATACTGTGATACCGGCATTGAGAAATGTATTTGACCTAGATGCCTAACGAGCGTCTTTTTCAGTTTTCTTCCATTTCAGTGCGTCTTTAACATTGTGTCACTGTACTGCACTGCACGGACAAAACAACGAATCGGTAAGAAGAACAACACGGATTTTAGCGCAGTTCGAAGTGGGCTTCACGCCATAGCAATACCGAAATGTTTTCAAATTCAGTATTCAGCAGCGCAAATCTTTTTAAAGACCCCATTGGTAGGGTAGGTATCATTTTTGTGGGGAATGGAGTAAAAATAATTGATATAGGCATAGGACAGGGTTTTGCGAAAATAGTTACCGAAAGAACGCTATTATACAGACTGACAATTTAACAAGTAGGAGAGTACTCAATGCGTCGATATACTTTTCTCTGTTCTATCGGTGCTTTAAGGGCGGGGAATTCCCCAATGAGAATACATAGAAAACCAGGAACGTATAGCACGTTTAGCGGGGCGTACAAGGAAGCAATAAGTGCGGCTATAGAGGAGAGAAGGAAAACAGGAACCATACCACAGAATGTGGAGTACGATGGCCATACTTACTACATACATATTGTTGTGTTAATTTAGGTGGTTTGGTCCATGTTCAATTTTTGTTTATAGCCGCATTATAATTTGTTTATTTTGTTTATTTAATTGTAAAGGAATTACGTTTTATAAGATAAGGAACATCTCAAAATTATTTGCGTAATATTTAAAAATGTATCTCATGGTTTTTTCCGGTCGTAGATAAGAGTTGCGCTTATCGCTAAAACTTAAATCAATTTTGTAAACCGATGTTGTCGCAGATTTAGATAAGCGAATTTTGTTTATTTTTAACTAACTAAAGAAGTGGAATCGAAATTGGAACAAGAGAGGGAAATGCGTTAAAGAGAAGAAAATTAGTGAATTAAGTGAAATCAGAGATTTTAAGTACGGCGTGTGAAATTGTCTAGTCGAGTTCGAGTTAAGGAGAAGTTGTTTGTGAGAAAAGTTTAAGTGTTATAAAATAAAGAAGTGGAGTTTCTGAGGCGAATTCAGTTTAGTGTTTGTGTTTTTTTTGTACGTGTCTGTTTAATGAAAGTCGCAGAAGACTGATATTTGGACTGGATATTTGGATTATTGACATTATAAGATAATTAAGACGGTGGAGCCGACGTAAATTAATTATTCGTTACTCAATTAATTAGTTTCCATACCCTCACGTGGACTAGAGAGGGTTTTTCCGTGAGTGTCTTCGTTGAAAACTACCCGTCTCAACTCGAGGGTACGTTAACAACTACAAGGGGGTTCTCAATTGGACGTTTTATTTACTAAAAGTGTTGATTCAAGTTTAATCAATAATTTTGAATATCGTGGGGTATTTTTGTATTTTCGGAAGATAAGCCTTCGAAATATCCGCCCCCCGTAACATTCGCTCAAAAAAGTTCTAGTCCGGAAGCACATTTGCCACAAAAAATTCGCTCTTATAAACACTCCAGGAAATTCGCCTCTAAAGATAACGCCAGTAAAAAAAAGTCGCCTGATAGCATATTCCATACCCAGAGACTAAAGTTTGTGTTTCAATCCCGAGGTGCATGCTATCTCGGGCAACGAGCACCCGAGACTCGGATGCATTTTAATTGTGTGGTATACACACTATTTTTTACTCATGTATAATCAATATCAAACTGTCAATGTTAAAATGCGAATTTGGGCACAATAGACCCAACAATCCGCTTAAACGAGCTATGGTGTAACTATTACTGCCAAAATCAAAACCAATATATACGTAAAACAGTCATTAGACTTAAAACACGTGAATAAAGAAAGAAAGAGAGAAAGAAAGAAAGGAAGAGAGAGAGAGAGAGAGAGAGACGAGCCTCTCTCTCTCTCTCTCTCTCTTCCTTTCTTTCTTTCTCTTTGGTCTACGCATCCGCACGAATTTTAGATATTGAGAGACACCTCTAAAAAGCGTTATGAGGGCCCAGAACAAGAGGGATAATAAATTAAAAAAAATAAAAAATAAAATAAATAAAAAATAAATCAATCAAAAATAAAAAAAATATTGTAACCAATAGTCGAGAAATCGAGGCGCCATGACAAATTAATCGGTGATAAGAAAGTAAAACGGACGTGCCGCCTTCTTTCCGGGAAATATGACGTGTTCGTTCTAGAAGCGTTTGAGAGTACTCCGAGAATGTGTATTGTTATAAATAAATTACTAATTAAATTTACGTTACAATAATTTTTTGAGTATGAATGTGAATAAATTAAAACAATTCCCATAAAAGTTTCATGCATTGAGGAATTAATAAAGATGTCAAAAATCACGATATGCACTATGTAAATGGGCATCAGAAACAAAATCACAAGTAGATCACAATAAAAACCCCAGAAAGAAAGCAGTATATGACAACCTGAGAAGATCGTAAACATTATTAAGCGGTAGGGCAAAGGGATGCTATTAAGCTTTTTAAGGCAGTCACTGGTGTCTGTTTGTCCGTCCGTTCGTCTGTCTGTCAATCTGTCTCTGATCACGATAATTGGCAAACACTTGGACCGCTTTTCTAGATCCGCTTAGAGGTTTTACGGTTAAACAGGGTGGTACTACAGCTGTAGGTACGAATTATTGTGTAATTGCTGTGTTGAATAAAAGTAAAAATATCCAATATTGTAATGGTTATTATTGGAAGCGTGTAGCGGTGTAACGTTCCTTGATCCATTTAACCAAGTGCTCGGAGCCTATGTGGTTGGCATCATCATAGTATGGCAGCTTTTTCATTTCGAGTAACCATTCGCAAAGTCGTGGATGATTTGTTTCCGAAACTGGCGCAATGCGCGACATGGATGACACTGGCGCGACAATGCAGAAATCGGCAATTGTAATCGAATCACCTGCAACAAACCGGCGAGTTTTCAAAAAATCCTCTAGCAAACTGTACACCGAAATTAAGTCCTCGATCTTCATTTGTATGGTGCTTTGTTTATCTTGTAACGTGATTGATTTCTGCAATTTTAAATTTTAAGCGCTGCGTAATTGATTGGTTGATTATGTGCATACTACGACCGCGCTCGTTTTTGTTTGGATAATTGATGCGTAAAAAATAGCATTTGGTCGACGATAACCTTTTTACGTGGATCTTTCGGGTAGAGCGCATCATTTTTGGCATATTTGTCGACAAGGTAAATGCTAATTGCCGCACTATCGCCTAAGCATCAAAAGCCATCATCGTCTAATGTCGGAATTGTGTGTTGAGGGTTCATCTAAGAAATGATCAGAGTCATCGGTGATGAAAGAGGAAATACTTACTGCCTTAAATTCGGATGTCAAGTGTTCCCCGCAAACAATATTAATTGGCACTAATTCCAATTCCAACCCTATTGCTTGGGCTGTTAGTAATACAGCTCTTGAGGTTGGGCTCATTTCGGAATAATATAGCCTTAGAGTCATCTTCTTTTTGTGTTACAAAAATATGTAATCACTCAGTTAAGATTCATTTGAATACTGATAAAAACATGTACCTAGTCATTACTACATAGATGATAACCCATGGCCCTATTTATTTATTGAGTTGGTTATATTTTTTTGCGTTATAGATTCTTTGGGACAAATTTATTGTCACATGACATGACAATGAAGTTTTAGAACTAAGTAAATCACTAAGCTTATGTCTTCTATTTAAAATAATTGATCGGCTTGTAATGATCTGACGGATCCCGGAAGCGAACACTGCAATCTTGACTTACCCTATACTTACAGTTGGGTACAGTTGCGATATGTGAAGGTCCCCAAGCAAAGCTTCCAAGGGAACCAGAGGCAGGTCATGGTGCACACTTTTGTACGTTTGAATTCCATAAAACAGAAAGTGGCGAAATTACTATACGGCATAGAACATTTCTAAAATTATACATCATTATGAGACAGGGTAATGGCACCCCCGCCAATTTAGGTCGGCGGATAATTGGTACTTATACGGGTTTCCTAGATTGCGGTGTCACTAGCTATGAGAGGCCTAAAACCCAGGGTGGGCCCTCCCACATTATTTATCTGTTTGTGGTGTAATGTGCTGCCTATCGTATGCACCACCACAAGGTTATTTTATACAGTGGCACCACGCTCAGAAAGTCCCTGACAGGGCGTGTCCGAGGGCGCTAGAAATTTAGACCGTACATTCTGATGCAAAATTTAAAAACACTAAGGGAATTACATACCTTATCAGATCGTAGATCCAAGCTATATGCGTCTTGAAAAAGACGAGTTTGTATAAAACTGGAGACGGAAAACGTAAAATAAAGCAAATACAACAGGAAAAGTGTAAACTAAATTAACGTGAAGCGTCAACTGTCAAAACGGAATAATTAATAATTATGGCGCGGAATGTATCGCGTCGTTTTGCAGACTTTCTATTGGCCAGCCTGAATTATTTCAAAATTAGTTCGCATATTTTCCGGGGCTTTTCTAAGCATGGTGGCACTGTAACTTGAATCTTGTAAATTGAACACTATATTAAATTGGATGTTGTTATGAGAACTTATACATATGTTGCACAATATTGTACTTACTTATTTCTACAAGTGAAGTTTTACTTTTAATTTAATTTTGAAAGAGAAATAAAAGAGCATTCTGGTAGTTTGACAAGCAGTAAATATTGTATATACAACAGAAAGCAATAGAAGCTGTAATTTATACTTACGTGCGGAATAGGGCCTTGTGTTGTGATCCTTACTGTAGATGTACCGTGGCAAATATACAGGTGCATTAGACACAGTTGTCGCATCTGTGTGCAGGTAGACACTAGACACAACCAAACACCTGTTAAATGTCAGATCAATCTAACCTCAATGATAGCAAATATAACTAATTTTTATGATTTATTTTAAATAATTTGTAAGGCCGTAGCCTTAACATGAACAAAAATTTACAATCACCTACAAAATTAACGGAATTTGCTCCATTACAATCGGAAGAAAAGCAACAAAGTGTCGGTCAGTTTATATCGAAGCTTTTTAAACTAAACAAAACTTCGCCCACAACTGACAATGCATCCATCAACACGGAGAAACCGCTTGACAATACCTCACAAGAATCGTTACCGACATGGGCAATCGAATCGACGCAAGAAAACTGTGAAGCACGTAACGATTATTACTACCAGGTGGACGTGAACGAAGGGAGGAGCTTGCCTAATGTTCTTAAACGTATTAGCAATTTACTAGCATTGAAGAGTACAGTAAGTAGACCATTTGTCTGTATTAATTCTCGTGTAGAATTTGCAAGCGTACTCGGACACCGAACTGAAACAATATTGGATGCCAGATTCTGTAAGCAAAGAGTGTTACGAGTGCGGGGAGAAGTTTACAACATTCCGCCGCCGTCACCATTGTAGAGTTTGCGGGCAAATTTTCTGTTCACAATGTTGCAGTCAGCAAATTCCCGGGAAGATATTCGGGTGCACAGGTTAGTACATTGTGCAGTGTAAAATATGCTCACTCGCCATTTTTAGGTGATCTCAGGGTGTGCACTTACTGCTGTAAGGTGGTGCTTTCGTACTTGCAATCGCCCGACGTAGGTGCAGATCTAACGGCCGATCTCAAAGCGCTACAAGAAAATTTATTAAATAAGTATGGGGCAAATTCACCAGTCGGAAACTCGGTCTTAGGGATTGGTGCTATTCTGAATCCTATATCAAATAGCTCATTAGAGACTGGGGGTACGTTGAGAAGGAAAATATCTCTCGGTTATCAAGAGGAGAAGTTTGCGATTGGACGGTAGTAACAGTTGCACAGAGGTACATTGTCTTGTAAAATTAGTGGCCTTCGGATAGTAAAACTGTGGCAGAGCCTATGGGTTGCACCTTTTTGCTTTTGTCAAAGTTTGATTTCTTGGTGTGGAGGGTACCAATTGTGGTCACTACTTCATGTTCCTGAAGCAAATTACTGTGGTATAACATTTGCTTTAATGTGTTGTTGTATACAGGGTGTTACATATAAGTATGTAAAAAAAAATTAGGTGGTATAGAGGGGATCAAAACGAGCATTTTTCGAAATAAACCAAGGATCCAACATGTTTCGTTTGGGAGCCACTCCCAAAAAAGTGGTGCAATTTGCATTTCTTCTTTAATTTTTTTCTGGGCAACCATAAGAGTTAGACTGGTTTTCGGGTATGCCCTTTCCAATTTTGCAACAATGTTTTTAAAATTCCTACCATGAAAGAGCGCACCCCTAAGTGAGGGTGTGAAAAAAATTCTGATTTCGACGAAATTTCGTATCCGGGAGGTTTTTGAACATGAAAACCATGAATCTAAAAAAAATTCCACTGCAATTCTTGTCCGGACAACGAAAATGGAGAGAATTCTACGAAATTTGTTATGTACATACTTGATGAGTTAAGGAACTAGTTATTAATTTAACTAGAGTTCCATTACAATCAATTAGCATTATTCCAAGTATAATATCGACTTATCGTTCATTCTCTCTTCCTTAAAAGTTAAGAAAAATTCTCTTTACTGCGCCAATTTTTATTTTGTTCCTCTTCGTTAATGTTCTCAATTCGACCTGGGCGTTCCAGTACAATCGTAAGTATACAGTTTTATAATTTCACCACTTTCACCATCAAATACAACTCCTTCCTTAAAAAAATGTCAGATAACTCACCAATCACAATTAGACTTGATAACACTAGCTTCGAAGGAACGCGTCCCCACTTAGTCAAAATAACGCTCACATCGTAAAACAACTGCTTTAATTAACTTTCGTCCAATAAGACTCCTAACGCAAACGACCACATTTTAACACGTAATTTCACGTTACACAATCAAATACTCGGCTTCATCCTACTGCTGAATTCTAACGCATGCGCTTCGCCTTAAGGCCAATTCACATTATTGGTGACGTCACGGGATTGTGTCATTCCGAACATAACACACGGTGCGGTCAATTATGATAGCGTATATGTATTTCCTAAGGTTGATTCACATTATTGGTCAGGCCACGGTCAGAACATGTTCAAAGAAATATAAGCTACAATAATTGACCGCACTATGATCTGATCATGACGTGACCGATAATGTGAATCAGGCTTTATAAAGCCCTGATCGACGGTGGGGATGATTGTTTCACACTGCGTGGGGGAAAACGCCGCGTTGATTTTATTGACATCACGCCATGTAGATTTTACTTATAACTGTGGTGTGATGCGTATCCGTTACCATATGTTCCACCACATATTATTAACTCCTTAAGGTATTTAGAATATTTTTTCAAATTTAACTTGTTTCAATCGATCGCTTGGGCACGGTATTTGTCACCTGGCCCTGAGTGCCTATTTTTAATTCAGTTTTATTGTTTGAGTAATGTTGAATAAACTTGTTTCATCTGTAAATGATTAGCGGATTAGCTTGAGAAATGTACGCCCTCAGCGGGAAGTGCTGAACTATGTGTTTCATTGCCTGTTTCGCAGTGCCACAGTTACAGGAAGCTGAAGGAAGCTTACCCCATTTGTGCAGGGAATCGGCGCATCTTCAGTAGTTTCCAATAAGGATTATAGTACAGAACTCGAGTAACAATTAGTACTCCTATCTCTGAGAATTCATCATTAAAAGGCGTCCCGAAAAGTAAACTGCTGTAATTGTGCCAAGGGGAATCGGCTTGTGCGTGGTATTTTGTTTGTCTATTTTGGCATATGGGTGTCTGTTAGTCAATCTGGAAACAATATTTTATTGAATTACACCAGAAATGAATGATTTAGATAATAGATATCTGATGATATATTAACAGGCAATTTTATCATACACCTGAGATAGTGAAAAGTATAAAGATCAAAACATTTTTATTTTTATCATGTTTTTGTAATAAATAACATGTACTTACATATATCCAAATTCAAATGATTAATATTTAAGTCAAATACGTTTAGAAATTCAACTTTAACAAAGTCCAAGGGGGTTGATCGCCTATGGTACAGTTTGAGGGTCATTGATTTTACAAAAGACACCACGAAACTAACTAGTGACGCATTTTAGACCCGCTTCAGAAAGCTACATGTCTCCTGAAGAAAAATGCAAAGTTTTGCAAAACTCGGCCTCTTTACGTAGTCTCTACGAAGAAATATGCAGGCCTGCTTCGGGGGTTCCTCTGCAGATACACCGATATAGACTGAGGACGTACTCGGATTGTTTCCTAGGATCGGAATTAGTCGACTGGTTAATTTATCAGCAGAAAGCGAACTCAAGGTTTATACTTCTCACTTGATTACAATTTCTCAGTTAATACTTGCAGGGTTCAAGCTGTAGCTATCTGTCAGGCTTTACTCGAAGGTGCTTACATTGATTGCGTTTCGGAACCGAGTTGTTTTACCGATGGGTACGCACTTTATAAATTGGGCATACTTCCCAACGAGCCTCCAGTTGATATGCATACCTGTGATCTTCCAAATCAAGATGAGCCGATTTGGACCCGACAAGTACCTCAGGAATTAAGCAGTACTACAGGTAAATTCATATTGCAATCTGATTTAGTAATGAATAAAGTTTTAGATTCTGAAAGCGACAATGCTGTTCAAACCCCTTCAAATTCAACTCACTTTAAGTCTTCGTCTTCGTACATGTTAGATTTAAATTTGGAGTCCAACACTGTTTATTTATCGAAACCACCTCCGTCAGTACAAAATATTTATTCTCCAGTTGACTGTGATACTAGCTTAAAGAAAGACATTATCTGCGAGGAGCCACCAGCTGTGAATACTTCCGAGCAAAGAGAATTTGTACCTGAGTCAGGTAGTGAATTTTTTTATGCTTTATTCTAGAAGTCTTAGTATGCAAGTACTTGCTGTATAATATTTTTAAGGTACCAAAGTACCTATAATTTGTTGGGTACTTACGATGAGGTATTTTTCTGAATTCTAGCAAAATGTTGCTGTTGGATTTACATAACGAAATTAAAAAGGCACAAATATAATATCTCTTCGCTCATTTGTCGAAAATAGATACTGCACTTTACACAATCACATTCCTAATTGAATAAAAATGTGTAGGTACCTGGGCCACAGATAGTTCGTTTGGAAGTTTGAGATGGTACCTTGTATCTGTACATATATTTTTTAATTGCCATGAGTAGATAAGCAATGTATGTACGGGACCAGGAAGTGACGTCACACCAATCAGAATCGAGTATTTCGGTCACGTGGTCACGTGTGAGCCAATGGGAGCGCGTGAGTCTGCCATTTTGTGATGTCACATTTTTGCTGTTTTGCTTTGGTGTTTCGGGACCAGGAAACGCGTCACACCAATCAGAATGCATATTTCGGTCACGCATACCTTCCTACTGATTAGGATGTCCTGCTGATTCGGATATCCTGTTAACGACCGGACGCTGTTTCCTGCTGATAACCGGATGCTGCTTCCTATTCCCGCCATTTACGTTTCCGGCTGCTGATTAGAATTTACCGGATGTAAGTTTCCTGTTGACATGAACGGATGCCCGTCGATACATGAATTACGAATCTGCCGCTTTAGTCAACTGAGCTAGAAGGGGCGCGCGATTGCAGGGGCGTAGAGGGTGGCGTAATTCGCGTATCGATGGTTCAAATCCTCGATATAGATCGCCGCCTATGACGCGTTTCCTGGTCTATAAATACACGCGGGAAAATATGCTAGATATGATGTAGACAAAATTGCCGACAACAACCTCCCCATACTGCATTCTGATTGATGTGACGCGTTTCCTGATCCAACCCAAAATGTGACGCCACAAAATGGCCGACTCACGTGCTCCCATTGGCTCACACTTGACCACGTGATCGAAATACCGCATTCTGATTGGTGTGACGCGTTTCCTGGTCCCGAAACACGGGAAGCAAAACAGCCAAAATGTGACGTCACAAAATGGCCGACTCACGCGCTCCCATTGGCTCACACGTGACCACGTGACCGAAATACTCGATTCTGATTGGTGTGACGTCACTTCCTGGTCCCGTACATACATTGCTCATCTACTGCCATGTATATAAAAATTACAATATCAAACGAAACAGTTAAAGGTATACTTCTCATTTGTAATTTAAATATAAACGAAGTATAGCAGAGTGTTCGTGAGCACATTCATGAAACAGACGCATCCAGATACGCAATACGAGACTAAAACGTATTTACATGTGCGTTTAAATTGGTTATATTTAGTGGAAAAAGTGCTAAACATTGTTGCACAAGTGCTGCTTTTTCATACGCATCAACCATAGATCAAACAATTTTTAACACCAATCGGCCAGTTTAGAAGAGTTGTTTGTTGTTGACCTACTTACTTCCGAATTGATGTGCTTATGAAGAAAGTAGCCATTACCTAAAAAGCTTTTGTTGTTCGTTAACCGTATACACGGTGTCCATTTTTCGAGTGCCACTATGGGGATCTCGCTTACCTGAAGAGATAGAGTTGATTAAATGGGGGCAAAGTTGCGAATTTTCCTGGTGAATAATAATCTGAAAAGAAATTTAAAATATCTTTAGTAGTTTTGAAAATATTCCAAAAAAACGAAACTTTCTGACCTTCGTTTTTAATTTCTTCATGGTAAACTAATCGTATTAGACATTTCTAATTAACACATTATTCAGACACTTTTTAATTTTTTCGGAAGAGTGCTTTGGAAAAACAAAACGTTCTTTTATCGTGAACAAAAGTTTGACAGTTTGATCCATCTGTCTGGTTGGAGCTTTCGCAGGGAACTAGATTTTCATCTGAATAGAATTGAACCTTCGTTTTGCAAGAAAATTATAATTCAAATTAGAACAAAATACATAAGAATAAATAATATTTTCGCAATAAAACTAGCACAAACGTAAATGATACTACTTGAAATAAGTCAACCCTTTGTTCATAACAAAAGAACGTTTTGTTTTTCCAAAGCACTCTTCGCAGAAAATGAAATATGTAGTTTTAGGAAAAATGTGTTACTGAACCACCATGTGTGATATATCGTTGTAAAGAGAAAAAAAGACCTACTCTCAAAATGTCAAAATCCAAAACGGCGCCCATAAGAAAAATTAAAGTTGCCACGTGTTTGTCCGTCATCTTAAAAGTTATTTAAAACGGCATGCCATATTCGAAATCTCCATTAAAAAGTGTCTGAATAATGTGTTAATTAGAAATATCTAGAACGATTAGTTTACTATGAAAAAATTAAAAAACGAAAATCAGAAATTTTCTTTTTTTTGCCATATTTTCAAAACTACTCAAGATATTTAAAAATTTCTTTTCAGATTATTATTCAGCACAAAAATTCGCAACTTTGCCCTCATTTAACCAAATTTCTATCTCTTAAGATAAGCGAGATCCCCATAGTGGCACTCAAAAAATGGACACCGTGTATTTATGAAATAATTACCGTTCAAATCGAAAATTGCTACGGAAGGATATAAGATTTGTAGGAGGCCTTCGTCGTCATAATCCTGCCTTTGTCGTCGTTATACCTTTGCGTAATTATTTGGAAACTTAGTTCGTTTATCTGCTTTTTTACTGTTTGACGTCATTCAAAAGGTATGTTTGCACCACGTATTAAATAAACGAATTGCGTTTGCGTTTCTGTGAACAATCGTTTATATCGTTTGCGCGTAAGGCTTTGAAGATATTTTATAATTGAACTTATCATTAGGATTTTCATTCATTCAAATTGTCGAGGGGTAAACCGCAACCCAAATTTTGTACACTGATTTCCTATAAATATTAGATTTCCTCTGAGTTCCTTCGAGTTCTTCAGAGTTCATTTGATTTCTTCGGAGTTTCCCTGATTTCCTCCGAGTTCCTCCAACTTCCACGAAATACCTCTGATTTCCTTGGAATTCCCTCGATTTTCTTTTGGAGTTCCTGTGAGTTCCTCTGAGATTTTAAAGTTTTTTAATTATTTCATTGTTATTCCGTTGATTTAACAATTTCCTGGTAAGTAAAACCCGAGGTAAAACCATAAAAAAAATATAAAAGTGTCAAGTTAAAAAGTAATCGTAAACGATTTACATAAAGCGCATTTCCACTTGCATTCATTTCCCATTTGTAAGATGCAACTTCTGTTAAAATCGTAAAAATCCGGCCACAAATATGAAAGATAGCGTTGCACATGGGCAATCCATTGTTGACGTGCTACTTCAATTTCAGTTTATGAGAAGAATTTCATTTCAATGCTTTTCTAAATAAGAAAGTTGGAACTGCGCATGCGCAAACCTAAATTTTAAAACTAATGTTAGATTTTCCTTTGTTCCAAGCGCCTAAGTATCAAATTTCACTTAAATAGTTCCATAGATAAAAAGGTGGCACGCGCATGCGCAAAATAAAATTTTGAAACTGGCGCTAGATTTTCCTTAATTCCAAGTGCCTATGTATCACATTTCATTTAAATTCTTCCATAAATAAAAAAGTTGGCACTGCGCATGCGCAAAACCAAATTTTGAAATTGGCATTTGATTTTCCTTTATTCGAAGTGCTTATGTATCAAATTTCGTTTAAATTCTTCCATAAATAAAAAAGTTGGCACTGCGCATGCGCAAAACCAAATTTTGAAATTGGCGTTGGATTTTCCTTTATTCCAAGTGCCTATGTATCAAATTTCATTCAAATACTTTTATAAGTAAAAAAGTTTGCAATTCGGTTTATAAATGGTCGAGATGCGAAAAGGGTACTGTGAATTTTGAATCGATTCGATTCAACTTTTGGCATTGCGTATTATATGGCTAAATCTATGCCCATATTGAATTTCATGCAATTCAGTTCATAACTCACGGAGATGTAAAAGCGATCGAACACTTCTAAACAAAGTTATCGTTCACACGGACAGATAGATGGACAGACAGACAAAGGAACAGACGGAGAGACCAACCGGCAGGCGACAGATTGCAATGCAAAATTATAAACGATCTCTAGGATCGTTAATAAACGGCAAAAGGGTACAATTATGGAACATGTAAAAAACGGTTTTTTGTTTTTTTTTTACAATAACTTTTTTTGTAAGCGGTACAGAAAAAATTCCTTCCTTGGTACAAGACTCGACACCATAACGAACCAAATAGCGAAAAAAGTAGAACAATATCTCTTAAGATAAAGAACTAGTAGCGTCGCAAAACGAGCGGACGGACGGACGGACGGATAAAGACACGACCTTAGACGAAACACTATTTTATATTTTATGAGAAAAACTCATTATTAAATGAGAAAAATACCATAAACAAATAAAAAAATTAGTTAAGACCAAATTAAATAATAAAATGCAGCACGAGTTCCTTTGATTTCTTTAGAGTTCCCTTGATTTCCTCGGAGTTCCTGTGATTTCCTTGGAATTCCTCCTGAATACACATGGAATTCCTTGGAATTCTTAGCTTTCCTAGGAGTTCCCCCGGAATTCCTATGATTTCCCATAGATTTCCTCAACGTGTACACTGATTTCCCACCGCGGTTTACCCCTCGCAAATTGTGTATTGATTTAAGATAGATGTTTCAGTTGTGATCAAAAATTGCATAGAATGGCTTATTTTATTTAAATTGTAACCTATAACGTTTGCATCATAAGAAGAGATTTAAAGATATAATGCAGGTGACGTATCGATTTTGATACTGATGGGATATTTACAATGGACTTATTATGAATAATTTCGGACTTCTTCCGCAAATTTTTTCTATGGAAACGCTTAATTAATGTACCGTTCAAAGTGAAACTCTGCAGTGAGCAAAGGAGATGAGGTACGAGAAACTAACAATGCGCGCGATTAGCCCCATCCGTAGGCGCCAAACTACTCTAATATGGTAAGTGCGTTACTTTCGTCGGGAGGATTCATATTAAAGTAAAAAAACTTCTTCCCCTCCTCCCTCTCGGGGTACAGCTCGTGTAACAGTACGGGGAAAAATTCGTACAAGTTCGTATATTAAAGTTAGGGCGATAGGGCCGCGTAAAATCTAGCCAACCGAAAATCGTTCGTGGATTAATTTCAAACCCAAGAAATACTTCATGAAGTAATAAAGTAATTGTTCTATGCAACTTATTTTTTTTTATTCTTTATTTTATAGTGGGTGGAGTGTTAGCTAATTAGCTACTCTTCCCACTCGACCCCTTATCGTGTCAAATGAAGGTACCTACAAAGGGAAAATGCAATATTTCGGAGAATTTTTCTAAGGGATTAATTCTTCTTGTATTTAGTATTGTGTGTGTGTTCCAGGCGGCCTTTACATATTTATATGTAAAGAACTCCCCTTCCCCCTTTAATCATCTACCAAGAAGGTAAACGTTGATAAATATAACGTGCTACTAACGTTATAAATATTTACTAAGCTATTTCGGTTTTTAAAAATGCGCTTTATCTGCACTAGAATTGTGAACAATTCATACTTGTTTAAATTAATTTTCTATTTATGAGTATAAAAAGTAATATAATTTAAATTTGGAAGCACTCTTTGAAGGCCTATAAACAGAACTATATCGTTCTTCATATATTAACTTGTGAAAAAAGATTTAAGGTTTGGATTTAGAGAGTATAGGCAACTGGTGATGCACATGTAATTCAATGGGGCGTGCATTGCCTCTGAACTTCATTCACCATTCCATAAGCAAGGGGTGTATATGATCGGAAAAATATGCATTAGGTAGATAGATGTACAGAGCATAGTTTCCATACAATATAAACTGATATTTTGTCCATTAATATATGTTTAAAAAATCCAGAAAACATGCGTCAAAAGAGTTCATAGTTTAGGATTTAATTGCAAAAATTAGGGAGCATTTTAAGCAATACGGGTGTATGGGATCGGTAGCGTGAATACTTATCTATATTTTGGCAATTCATGTGAAGCTCAAAAGTTTTCATAAAAAAAGTGGTGAATGAAGTTCTGAAAAATGGGCATGTAAACTGGAGAAATGGAAATAAACTACGCAGCTGTGACTAATATCGCGGTCAACAGTGTAGCTTCTTTCTCACAGAGGGTGCCACCAAGAGTTTTATGAAATCAGTAAAAAATACGATAAAGATATGAAAATTTACGAGCAAAAAGAAACTAGCAGGCTATGTAAGTTGCCTATGCTAAATCATTTAGCGATTCTCTTTCAAGGTTGAACGAGCGTGCTTGTAATAGAATTTGCTGACAGCAAGAAAAAGATCGTTCACTGGTATATTTTTATTTTGTCAACTACTTGCTTGGAAATTTATTTGGTTTCTGTTTCCTATTCATTGCAAAAGGTACCTCCTCTACCTATCGTTTTATGAAATAAATAATAGAAATGGGGATAAGGTAACATTCCTTTACAACAAATATCAAAATTTTACGTAATTTTTAGAACAAAGGCCTGTTGTATATTGTTGTTGATGTCTGGCAAGATGCGACCTTGTGTGGGTGTTTATTTGTAATGCGATTTGTTTGACCGTCTTCCCTATTCTTTATCTTTGCCGATTGCAGATTAAAATACCGTAATTTATAATCCATACCTTGTTGCAAATTAAATTTTTTGAACTTCAATAGTTCCATTGAATAAAGCTCTTTATTCAATGATAGTACCTATTACATATTAGTATTAGTTTAGTCAGTTTAGTGTAATGTGTAATAATTGACCTATACAGGGTGATTCAAATTCAAAGGCCACCATGGGGATCTCGGGAACTGTAAGAGATAGGTAGAGGTAGTTTACATTTGACAAAGTTACCCTTGATGGTAACATCATCTATTTTTAATAAGAAATAACATTAATTCGTAAAAACGCAAGAAACTACTTACGTACGTTACTTAAGACAAAGGCAAAAAAGGTATTTTACAAGCATTAAAAAAATTGATGTGTACATTTTTGAAATCAGAAAAAAATTCTCTATCAAATGACACAAAAAGTAAAAATTACTTCCATAAGAAACAAAGTTGATCATAGTTAACGGGACCCGGAGACGAAACAAACTTCAAATTTAAAAGTAGCATCTTGTAGAGGGAAAAAAGTGGCCATAATAATGTGTCATTTATTATTAAATATCTTTTCGCACTCCTTCGTTCTAAATCGCGTTTTCCCAATAAAACACGAACGTCAGGAACGTCAATTTTACAATTGACTATCTACTTTCGCGCACTAGTGCCTAAAAATTCAACGAAATTATCTATTTAGTGCGGATCATAAACTAATAAGTAGTATGATGGAAGAGTAAAAAAGAAAATATAAATACACTTTACATCATTCCCTGTAGTACAGGGGCAAAAATAAGCTTAAACCAGAAGTTTTGAACAATAAATTGACATTTTAAATTTTTAGATTTCTACTTTATCGGCATAGAGGACTTGATTTTTCAAAAGGATTATAATGTCGCAAAAATCTCGCGAAAAGGATTTGAATTTATGTAAATTCGATTTAACTAATCCGTGCAAAAAATAGAATACATGTTACGTGCGTGAACAGTATTTGCTTGATTCGCGCGAGATGCGTCGCTCGTGCGCGTTGCGCACTCGCGCCGCCAAACTTCGCGCTCATCTGCAAAATAACTGTTCCCGTACTAATAATGTAAATAACTATTGTAAACAACTACAATTAACTTCAGTAAAAAACAAAAACTATTTTCAAAATCTCGTTTTTTCCGGATATCTCCGAAAGTAGTCAGAATTTTCAGTTTCAAAACTGTTTTTGTTAAGCATCAAAATACACAACTTTGCCAAATTTACCACCTACCTATCTCTTTACAGTTCCCGAGATACCCATGGATGGTGGCCCTCGAATTTGAATCAGCCTGTATATTACTAATTTACAAAAGACCATCCCTCGAATGTAAGACATGGGAAACAAATGTATAAACGGCTAAAAAATCGGTATACCGTATGTCCCCGGATTGACTTTACAAGAAGAAAAACTTTTACTATACTTTTTGACAAAAATGCATTCTCCATAAAAGCTTTTGCTTGTTCTAATTCGAAATTTCCCTACCGTTTCAGAGAAAAAAACAAAAAAAAAACGAAAATATGGTTGAACTTTTTCCAAGTCCTAAAAGTCAAAACGCGTCTCTACTGTAATAACATTTCGTTAGTTACAAAGTCTTCGTTACCTGTTATGTGAATAGGCACTAGGATCGTTATAAACAAACACACTTCGTAATGACATTGAATAAAAACCTCTTTATTCAATGGTAACAATGAAAAAGAATTGAATTTCCAAAGGTGTTTTCTTTGAAATGTCGGCGTTTTACCGTTAAGTGAAGGAATCAAGAGTTTTACTGAGGGCCCTTCCAAACAAAAAGCCCCTGTCGCCACTTGTGAACCAATTTTACGATCTTAATTTTGAAAGTCCCCCATGCCAATAATTACGCGATTTTTACTTCATACGTTACGTTACAAGCGGTTCATTATTCTCCTCAAGTTATGTGTGGTAGAGCGCTAATTATAATTTTGTTAACCTAGCAGTCTATAAGGAGCCGTGAACGACCTTGCGTTTGTGTTTTGTATCTTCTTGTCGTGTGGTTATGCAAATCAAATTGCATTTTTTTTAAAGCTCCCTCTGTGTTGTTTAGGGCCCACTTAAAGAGAGTATAATTATTTAAATATTTGTATAGAAAACTGCTGTAGTTACGCTATTCATTATTAGGTACCAGCACATTCTAACGAAAAAAACTTTGTCCTTTACTATGGGTACTTCTCTTTTCAGGCAATCCCAGCCTTAAACTAATTACAAGGGAATGATTCTGATAGTTAGTGACCTGTGTAGATAAAGACGTTGCGATAATTAAAAAGTAGTTATTAAATAAACAAAGTCAGTTTGAATTATTATAATGGAAGAAATTGATATAAATTGTTGGTCAGTTATGACAAAGTCTCTAGGTAAATGTCTGTGCCATTTTTAGTCATGCATACTAATATCAAGATGCAGGTGAAACTTCAATGTCCAGTAAGTCTGCGCATATGGAAGTTAATTTTGAATTGTTTTCTAGGCTGGCACAAACCTTCGCACTTGCGGGAGGAGAACGGGGAAAAATTTGTTTATAATGTTATAACGAATACCTATAAACAACACGAAGAAGGTTTATTAAAGCAACTTCTTTCCATTCACGGTCTGTCCGTTTCGTGGGTGGACACAATAATTAAATTGACGCACGAAATCGTAGACTTAATTCGGCCAGGTTTGTATTGCAAACCTAAGACAGTAACTAAACGCTCATTTGGCAGATAAGAATCATGACGCAGAGGACATAGACGTACTTCGATACGTCCAATTTAAAAAAGTAAGCGGGGGTGCGCGTACGGACAGTCAATTGGTTGGCGGTATCGTGTGCAGCAAAAATATCGCCCATAAGTATATGTCGACGAAATTGGAGAATCCGAAAATACTAATCCTCCAATGTTCCCTCGTTTATCAAAGGACGGAAGGGCGTCTCATGTCCCTCGAACCAATTCTAATGCAGGTCAGTCCCTCTATACGTCGCGATCCATAGTAATCGTGTGCGTTACATAGGAGCACGAATATCTTCGAAACGTAGTCGCCCGAATAATAGCGTTACAGCCCGACGTCATTCTGGTGCAACGGAACGTGTCGAGATTGGCGCAGGACTTGTTACTCGCTCAGGGGATGACGTTAGTGCTAAATGTGAAGCAGACCGTTTTGGAGAGATTGGCGAGGTGTACACAGGCCGATCTCGTGACTTCTATGGATGCGCATATCGGCCGACCAAGGTTGGGTACATGCAAGTCATTTTATTTGAAAACGTTCGATATAGAGCGAGGTAATTTAATGAACATGTTCCTTATAGGTTGCCTCATCATAAATAGACGAATCACTTTTGAGGGCGTCTACATCAGATATTGCGATTTAGTCATTCATTTTTAGAACACTACTTTCGTGGTTTCAGGTTATAGAGGGATTTGTATGGTACCAACAGCATTTGTCATAGGTGGGATTATTGTCCGGTCCTGTGTGTTGGTCTGTTGGATTACGCTCTGTGGGTGTATGAAGTGTGCGCGTCATTGGCGAGTCGCGATTTAGCATTGAAAACGTTTTCATAATAATAATAAATACAGGGTGTTTCGAAATCCGCGCACACGGACTATGGAATGGTGTTATACGACAAAAACTAAACAAACAGTTCCTCTATCAGTTTTCCATCAGACCGCTATTTTTCGAGCTACCGCGGTTTTAAAAATCTCCGCCCCCCCTACGCTGCGCCACTGGTTAAACTTAATAATAACACATTTTTAAAAACAAAAGAAGGTTCAAAATAAACTATAATTAGGACGAGTACGTAATTACAACAGTTGTTCAAAATGTCCGCCGTCTGCTAGTAAACAAGCTTCAGCACGTCGAAAAAAAAAAGTGCCGGTCTGATCAAAAACTGGTAGAGGAACTTTTTATTCAGTTTTCGTTGTACAACACCATCCCACAGTCCGTGTGCGCGAATTTCGAAACACAAGAGTTTTTACGGAGTGAAGAGATTTTCACCATGGTGTACGGATGATAAAAGTAAAGCTTCTGCTACAGAGTGTACGAAATATGTAATCACTACGTACAGACAATGCAAATAAATTAAATATAGTCAACCTGTTGAGGCAACTTATCTATTATAAGGGCCTTGTGTTAAAATGTAGTTAATGGTACTTTCTCTTACAGGTGGCTGTAAAACGCTAATGTTTTTTGAAGGCTTACCATTGTCTCACTTAGGAGCTACAGTATTACTAAGAGGCGCTTCACTCAAAGAACTCGAATCAATAAAACAGATCTCTAGACTCTTACTATTCGCGTCGTATAATTGGAGGTTAGAAAAGTCATTCCTTATGGACGAGTTTGCACAACCACCAAACTCCAAGGAGGAATTTTTCGACGACAGTAAGGAAAACTCTCCCGACCTGCCCATAAGTAAAATACCCATATCTGACTCTGACAATAAATCTAAATTGGAGTTGTTTTCTGACAGTGAAAATGACGCCGAGTTCTTTAGTATGAACACGCGAAGTGACTCGTATACTGCCACTAGCAACAATACGACGAAATCGGAACGTGCCGAAAGAGTGTCCGAGGATCGGAAGGTAACACCGGAATCGACTAGCGATTTTAGTGACCCTCTGCTCTCTTGCAATTTGGAAGATGACGTATTTAAGTCTAATAATGTCGAGAAATTTTCCGTGGCAGAGTTGCCGTTTTCGAATACATTCCGTAAAGCCCTGGACGATACGATCCTTTGCATTTCCCCGTACATTGTCTTTACGATTCCCTATTTAGAGACCGACTCTGGACGCAAATGCAAGTTGCGCAACTTTTTCCCGCCCGAACTATATTTAAGCCAGCAAATTGAGAAGAAGAAGAAGGTTAAGAGTAAAGATGTGGCGGCGAACGAAGGCTGTAATTTGCACAATTCTCACAATTTGCACCTGAAACCGTCACATCCTTTTATTACGGAGAGGATACGGAGAAGCGCCGATAGTAACGAATTTCAGAGTATGCTAGCGCATTTTCGAGCTTGCGGTGGCCGATTGGAGCATAAAGATGCGGTCGTTCGCGATGATGACAAAGAGAATAGACATAACGAGACGAAACACGTGCCCGAATACGAAAGTAATCATTTAGACGCTTTGGATCTGCTGAGTCATCAGAAGTTGGGGGTGTTGTTTTGCAGTTTCAGTCACCTTTCCAATAATGCGCCGGCATTTTGCGTAAAGATGTAAGATCACGTTAAATGAAGTCAGTCTAGCTAATATTTAAAAATTTTTGTTTTTCCGAGAGATCTAATTTTTAATTTTCCTTTGGGTCAAGGGCAAACAGAATAGTTTGTCTCACATTCTACACCTGCTTATATAATAATCGCAGCTAAATCACAATGATAGATTTTTCAAGCCCACCCTGAATCTTTTTCCTAAACTTCTTCCAAATATTTTTTTTTTTAATTGCAAAGCTAGACTAACTCCATTATTCGCCATTGCGTGGCTTCTGGTCAATTTCAATCAGGTATTCTAGGGTTGTGGCCATGGAATTTTATGGTGTAAATGACATTCCCTTGGGCTGCTTTTTGGAGAGATACTGCTTCAGGTCGACATATAAATGCGCTTCTAATACATGCGACTCGCCGATGCTAAAGCACATTCGCCGCTTTGTTCACAACGGCGGCTGTTTGAGTCTCTTTCTGAACAGTTTCGAGAATGAATTCGAAGAGAGTGGAATCGTCATGTGGAGTTGGTGCAGCAAGTGCCACAAAGTATCGCCCGTAGTCCCGATGTCCAACGACACTTGGTCGTTCTCGTTCGCCAAGTACTTGGAGCTAAGGTTCTACGGTGGTCTTTACACTCGAAGGGGAAGCGCGGGATGCTCCCACAGTTTGCATCACGATCATTTTCAATATTTCGGTTATAAGAATCTCGTAGCGTCTTTTAAGTAAGTCGAAATTTCGGTGTGTAACCTTTTAAATTGTAATTGCAACAGGTATACACCGGTGCAACTTTGGGAAATTTCACTACCGCCTACGCTAATTACAATTTTGTACAACGTCGTTGAACAACAAAGCAAGCTTATCGACGAAATAAAAACGCTTGCGTTAAAAGGTCACGAAATTTACAATCTAATCAACGATAGACTTCTAATTTTTTCAACGGATATCGAGGGATGTAGCGCTTTAAAACAAATTTTAGCGAAAGAGCAGTTGAATTTCAAGCAAAAGATCGAAGAGGTGCAATTAAAGTTGACATCACCGACGTTGGAAAGCAAAGATCTCCTCTTCGATGGCGAAGACGAGGATAATCGAAAGCAGATTGCGGTGTGGAGAATTGAAGACGTAATAATCAGAATAAAGCGTTTGATTTTGGAGTGCGTTGAGCAGTGGAACGTACGGTTGGCTGACCTTGCGAAGAAACGGGAATCTGACAAGAAAAAGGAGAAGGTGGTGTCAGTTGATTTGGATAGTCCGGAAGTCGTCGAAGCCCAGCCGTTGATGGTATCACAACCAGTTGAAGCTAAAGTTGACCATCCGACTTCCAGTGGATTATCAACGAAAAAAATTAAGAGTTTAGATCAAGGGGATGACGAAAACGTTTCGTCCTCGCCGAAAATACACCACCGGTCTCAATCAGATGGTACAGCAATGTCTCAAATGGCACTATATGATGATTTCCAAGATAACAAAAAGGAAATAGACAAAAAGACGGTCAAAAACATTCTCTCACAGTTACTACCGTCATCGATTAATGTAACGCCCATCCAACTACCCTTTGGGATACAAGAGCACTACACCCTTCCGACAGGGGTATCCATACCAATAGTCGTTTATGAAAACGAACCTAGTTCGATTGTCGCCTACGCACTAAACTCGTTTGACTACAAAAGGTCGCTCGATGAAATGATGGGGAAGAAACCGCAAAGCGCCGAACAAAGTCCGAGTCCTGTTCACAAACGGAAGTCACAGTCCGATAAGGATCAGTCGGAGGGAGGAGATTCGTCTTCGAGTAGAATTCTGTCATTCCTCCGAAGTAAGGATTCGAAAAACGACTTACTGCACTCCGTACAAGTTGGAGCTGGAATTGAGTCAAGGTAAATATAAAAGTTCTGTTACAGATCTTTCACTCATCACCGATTGATGCATACCCTGTCAACTCTGTCATTAATTCATGATTGTTTTGATTGTCGCGTTTCTAGCTTTAATTGCTCTATCACTGACCACCAGCGGTCCCAAACAAGTACGCCAATGATAATAATATACACCATACTTTTTTTATTATTTGCCGTTATGCAGGTAAGCATGTAAAATATGCGTGCTAGATGGGACCAAAACATTTTCCAATCTACACCATCAGCCCAAAATGTTCCGTTTTGGAAATCCTCCCCCCCAAAGTCATCTTTCTTTACATTTATCTCGCTGCAATTTGGAACTGACGGCTTTACTTATTCGCAAAGGAATTTTATCTGCGCGCTCTAGCGAAAACCAGATTTTGTCCCCTCATTTGTGGGAGCAGAGTGTGCATTTACTTTTTGCGAGAGGTAAAGTACCTAATCAAAAACTCCCTACGGGAGGTAAAGTAATTTCTATGGAAACGTAAATGTGTTGGTCTGCAACCTATATTCTGGGGTTTCAGAAATGTGGTTAATTTTGGGTATTTGATGTCCATATTTTTCTGTACCTTGACTTTAATTGGTTCTCAATTGCAAATAGGGGTTGCTTTCTGCAACAAACTCTTCTCATAATCAGCGAATAGCAATTTGTTTTAAAAAAAATGTGTAATTCGAGCACTCGGAGGTAGAAAACAAGATAAGGTAAGTAATGCCGGTTTCAGCCCACTTTGATCTTAAGATCTGCGCACGCGACAAGTTCAAGGTCATTTGATTCATTTCTGTTTGTCGGGGGTAAGTTTAATCGGAATCGGAAATTTTAATTTTACACCAAAGTTTTGTTGCAACGAAAAACCGAGATCAAAAGTGTGATAAAATTGTATCATGTTCTTTTGATCGAGAGATTTTTTCAGGAAGCAACAAAATTGGAGTGAATTAAAATTAAAATTATCCTGATTTTAAAACCAAGATCGAGTGTATTTTAGGGAGATTAATAAAAGACAGTAAATTTTGCAATCACTATATATTTTACGCATTCCTACACGCATCTTTATCGCTGATAAAAAGCTACCTAGCTTTTAATGACTTAAAAAATCATCTGATTGGTTGGAATTTGAAACAATCACCAAGCTGATTGGTCCAATATTAATGGAGTGTAATCTACGGAAACAAGTCTGTTCATTAAAATCAGATCTTTTCCATAGAAACAGCTCTGTTCAGTAGAAAGTGGGTCCGTTTATAAGAATCAGGTTCGTTAAGCCAACCTGTTTCAGATAAACAGATCTTTTCTTTCCATAGACACACAGAACCGAATCGAATGACCTTGAACTTGGGGCATGCGCAGATCTCATGGTCAAAGTGGACTGAAGCCGACCTTACTTACCTACTGCTTTTGTTTCACTCACTGTATCAGTAACTTATATACAAAAAATTTGAAATTTGGACAACGTGAAACAGAAAATAATATTTTATCCTATTAATAGTCAAACAGAAGAATCCCCTCCCAGTTTGGAGAAGCAAGATGACGCAAGGAAGGGAAAACCGCTCCACATTGAAATCCAATTTTCCGACCACAACACAAACTTTTTCTGTCGTATTTACTACGCTGAACGTTTTGCATGGTTACGAAGTATCTTCGTACCAGACGGTGAGGAGGCCTTCACTCGCTCCCTTTCGCGATGCGTGCAGTGGAACGCGCAAGGGGGAAAATCAGGATCGACCTTCTGCAAAACTATGGGTATTGTTCCAAAATCCGAACACTTCCTAACCTTCACTTGTAGATGACCGCTTCGTACTCAAGGAGTTGCCCAAGTCCGAAATACAACTCTTTCTCGATTCTGCCCACAACTACTTCGACTACCTGCAGCGGTGTTTCGACTCGCGCCAGCCGACGCTGCTAGGTAAAATTGTGGGCATCTATCAAATTATCTACAGGAACGTTACGACGAACGCAACTTTGCGCACCAACCTGCTCGTCATGGAGAATTTATTTTACAATCGGAAGGTGACGCATAAGTTCGACTTGAAAGGTTCGATGCGAAATCGATTGGTCAATCCCGATAATCAGGAGGGAGAAATCGTTCTTCTGGACGAAAACTTACTAAAAAGTGAGTGACTGGTGTAGGTGATCAGTCGAATTGTACCTATTTTTCAGTGTCGTGCGAGACTCCCCTGTATATTTTGCCGCATTCCAAAGTAGTTTTAACCGCCGCGATTCATAATGACACAGAATTCTTATCGGAGCAATCCGTGATGGATTACTCCTTACTGGTGGGCTTAGATTCCGACAATAAAGAGCTTGTGCTTGGAATAATAGGTAATTAGTGTGAGTTTGAGCCTGAGGTGCATTACTTACTTCTTACAGATTATATTCGTACATTCACATGGGACAAAAAGTTGGAGACGATGGTGAAGAAGTCGGGGCTTTTGGGAGGTCAAGGGAAGTTGCCGACTATCATTTCACCAAAGGAGTATAGGAAACGGTTCATTGATGCGATGCATAGGTATTTTTTAATGGTGCCCGATCACTGGGCTGGTTTGGGAAGAGGGCTCGAATGTTAATTTTTAGCTTTAGATCAATTTTTTAAATGACAAATTTTTACAGCGCATGTACGTACTAGTTCCAAAGAATACTTAGGTTTATTGTAAAGAAATTTAACTTATCCTACTTTGTCAAATGCTAAAAGTAGCATGTTAGGTTTTGTAAGTGTAACAAATGTTGATATATAGTAAAGTGAATGCATTGAGAATGGTTTGCACTTACCTTTCCATTCCAAGACAACTTCAAGGTAAACAGGTAAAAATCTTTTTATTTGATGGTGAAGAGTAAAATCGATGCCCTACTCACAGATTGGTTAAACAAAGTGGACAAATCTGGGTTTGGTAGTTTAACTGTCGATTGGTTGGGGGAGACGGCGCCTTTCGATCAACTTAAATAACAAGTCTCAGTGGCATCCTCTATCTCACTATTACGATTTCCCTCTTCAGACTTAAATGAGTGATGGTTGTATTTCTCTGATCTCTGTCAGGGTAAGTTCAAGGAGGAGAGATTTCGATGGGCATTGGTCCCTATATCCGGGACGTGAGCTGGTGATTTTTCCCCGAGACGTGTTCAATGAAGATTATGGAACATTCGGGACCTGGAATGTACACATATTTTAGAACAGCAACGCTTCTTGGTTTGAGCGGTCGTCAAGAGAACATTTTGTTGTTGTTTTGTGTTATTTAATGCAGGTAGTAATTTTTGCATTTCTTTATCATTTATTTGTGTTCTGTATACATTTTTGTTTTTTTTTATAATTCAATCTTTGTTTTTGGATTGGACATGATTTAACCACAAGGTTATTCTTTGGAATCGATTTCATTTGTGGTGCTCAATTAAGATTTTCTTTGGTTACACGGTTTTGGCCCCAAGTTAAATTTATATATTCAATCATTTGTTTAATTCTATGGAAGTTATCTAACCGCTTGATGTGTGTATGGACTTGTTACCAGTCCCATGGGTGGGACCTCACTAACAAAAACTTGCAATATAGTGAGATATGAGTAGTGATTCAGTAATTTCCACATATTTTGCTGAATTTACCTTCCAAGACCATAGCTTTTTAATGTAGGGTTTTATTGCACCAAAGTGAGTGAAATTGTATTTGTATTACATAAGTAAATTGTAGGAAATTTTCTTAACTTTGTATATAAATGTTTTCATTGTAGCACAAATCAGAAAGGAGATATTGCTGAAAAATTGCAATTAGGTGTCATTTTTCTATGGCAAAGGAGGTTGCAAAATTGAAATTCGGAAAGAACACATACAAATTAGCTGAATTGTGGTGCTAAGGGTCCCTCGTTCGAATCCGGGTTCGGGCATGGATATCACATTTGTAAATGTATAGTGCGTTGGGTTGGTTGAGCAGCCTTGGCTTAAACCCCGCCCACTCAAAAATAAAGGCAACAAAAAAAAGAATTTCTAAATCAATAAAATCACTCATTTTCAAAACTCCTGAAAATCTCCTTTTTTTGAACCAAATGGACTATAAGGGGATTTTCTAGATATTGTAACATGAACAGTCGCAGACAACTCCCGATTCGAAATTTGACGGTAATCATTAATTTCGCTACTGTAATGATCTTAGGGGTCCCCGAACATCATATAATAATATAAATGGAAGATACGAGATAAATCAATTTAGTACAAAAACACATCTACGATCAATTTGGACAAAACAACCCTTAAAATGACAAATTGCATGTACAAAAACACATCAAAATGGTATGGCTGTACTCTACCATCGACTTCCATTAATTTAAAATGTACAAACGCAAGCAATATCCATGTTTAAGTCGATTATCTCAAACAAAACTGCACATACAACAGTAAGAACCGTTCGGCAGCGAGCACGAAAGAGACAGTAGGTAACATATACAGCGAAAAATTAGAACTGTATGAGGTACTCTCTCCACGGAAGAAACGATTAGTATTAGTCGAATCGTATAAAGCAACAGTAAGGCTGATAATAGTTTAGCACCCCCAAAACCGAAATCAGCCCCCCCCCCCAATCTATGCGAGGAATCATAATTCTTATGCAGCTTTACTTATTTGCCCTGAAAACCTGTATTTTATTTTTGAATTCGCTTGCTACCCGAGCGGAAGATTGTCGGCGTTGGTCGGTCGATGAACTAGTGAGTCATCTCTCAAGCTGCAATCATATTGCCAGTTTCTTCAGCAACCTGTGAAAGGTCATTTTCGGCCATGTGAAATTTATGAGCTGGTTAAGAAGAACAATATGGCTCAAGACCGTTTCTCTAATATTTCTCTTTGATATATAGAAAGAAATGTTTCCGTCGATTCCGAACAAATTGTTAATAAATTTGCAAAAAAAAACTAGAAAAATACCTTTACGCCTGTAGTAACATCAATAAAATATACTTCCTGTATTTTTTAATAACAAACGTGTAAAAAAATATAGAAAACGAGCTCTTGGGTATAACTATAGCATGTGGAAAACCAAATTTTGAAACTGGCATTAAATTTGCTTTTATTCCAAGTGCCTATGTATCAAATTTCATTTAAATACCTTCATAAATAAAAAAAATTAGCACTGCGCATGCGCAAAACCACATTTTGAAACTGGCATTAAATTTGCTTTTATTCCAAGTGCCTTTCATTTAAATACCTTCATAAATAAGAAAGTTAGCAATTCGGTTTATAAATGGTCGAGATGCGATGAGGGCACTGTGAATGCTGATCGATTAGGCTCAACTTTTGGAATTGCGTTTTATATGGCTAAAGGCTAAAGCCATGCGCATAATGAATTTCATGCAATTCGGTTCATAACTAAGGGAGATGTCAAAAGGGCCTTCTTTATTTTTTGGCCTACATTGCCAATTCACGAACTCCGATCTACAAATATGATAAAGAATCCACCTGCAAAATTTCATCGTAATCGGTCCATTCGTTTACGAGATATCGTGCTAACGGACGGACAGACAGACGGACAGATACCGCAAAATAATAATAATAAAATAATTTACATTTAGTAATGTTTTTAATGAAGTGAATGTGATGCTCAGAATTCAAATTTTCAACTTAGTAGAATGGGAATGCTAAGGAAAGAGGTATAAAAATTGGATGGTTTTTTGGAATGGGCTTTATAATGTACACCGGGCTGTAGCCCCCCCAAAAGTAGAAGTCTAGTTGCGCCTATGAATAAAACCATATAAAGATGCATAACCATCTGTACAATATAACAAATAAACTTGATTCAGTAACGGTACCTACTGAAACAAAAGCTTTGGAGCACGCCATGCTTCAATAAGCAGATAGGTAGCAAATGGGGGGTTTTAAAAATTTAACTAAATACGTTAAAACAATCAAATTCAAATCAGGGTTGCTCTCTGTTAATCACACGAGATAGCCCTAGGGTCTTCATTGATTACAAGAAAGGGAAAAGCGAGATATTAAAACCTTCCAAAATATGTACTCACCTACTATCTCCATTTCTTTTCCAGTTTGTATTTAATAATTTTACATTATAATGATTTTCAACTCTGCTTTCATGGGTTTATTGCTACCTACTGTTATGTGACGGAGCCCGACCTTCGCACCAAGGGCTCCCCGTACGAAGAATATGGTTAGAGCTCAGGCGCCTGCCACTTTGATCAGGACGTAACCTGTCTTATTATAATATCCAAGACTATTTGAAGCAATTCTGGGCGGAGGGGGGGGGGTCATTCGCATGCCTCTAATGCCCGTTTGCACCGACAAATTTAAGTGGAGCTTAGCTTAAGCGTACCTTAAAATCCATGACAAACAACCATTGTCTCAATAATCGTTGCCATGGATTTTAAGCTACGCTTAAGCTAAGCTCCACTTAAATTTGTCGGTGCAAACGGCCATAAGTACACTAACATCCTGTATAATCTTAAATGAAATGTAACCTGCGCCTGTGGGAAAATTCCCTACCATTGTTTAAATACAATGACCCTACCTATCCTTACCCAAATCCCTAAATGTCTTGAGTAAACGCACGCACTGAGAACTAACTACATAATAATCATTCTGCCTTTCTGCGGCGACTAATACCAGTTTGAAAAGCATGACGCGACGTCCTTGTGCAATTTGAATTGTTAACAACGCCCGGTGAACAATTCCATTGGCGTAACTTGTGATTTTTCCGTAAATGAAATGCATAAAAGCGGGAACGGTTCAAATTTAAAATTGCCAGATACTATCCTTACACCATACAGTACATACATAAGACTGCTCATTGCAATTCAAATGTCGTCAAGGGCATCGCCCGGGCATTGAAATTCAGGGTAGGTAAACTAATCTGTCCGAAGTTGTTCGATGATCTGAGTCTTATATATGTATAGAGCTACTAGGTAGTCCAGAAATAGTTTTTCAATGTAGAATTATTACTATTATTATATGATAACGAATTAAAACTGTTTTGGTAATGTTTCTCACATTGTGTGCAAGTATCCAGGAATTTTTCTAAGAAGAAAATATAGCGAAGTTGTAACATGGAGGGCCATTTAGAGAACTTGGCAATATTTTTTTGCAGAAAAGGTCGTAGGTAATGTATTTGGTACGAAACCTAAAGGCTCGTATGTCACAGGGGGAAAAAGAACAGCGAGATGGTTTTTCGTCCAAATCTACCTAAATCAATACCGAAGCTTAAACGGATTTTTGGGCTGAATTTCCTATAATGAAATCTAAACCTAAATATCGAAAGAAAGTTTAACTACCTATATAGAAACACTCAACTTTGAGGGAACGTGTTGGTTTGAGCAGAACGACTGCAAACTCTTAGTACGTGGTAATGTATGTTTATTTATTTTAATCGACCCATTGGCTCTTCTTCACGTTGGAAGTCTCACTTAGATTTATTCTTGAGGGGCGCTAGTCGAAACCGGTAAATTCTAACAATAGAATTTTGCAAAACGTCAGCTAAATGTCATTTTCCGCTTAAATAAGTACAATTTGGTATATTTACTTTGTCGAAATCTTCAATATAATGAACAGTATTCAGTTCATCTTTGCCTCGACACTTTTCAGTGCAGCATTTATAGTTATATGTATATATTTCGATAAACATCGTCACGAAGATCCACTCTTTCGCAAGAAATTAAAGTTGAGAAGACGAAAACCGTTACCGACCTACAGCGGTACGAGTTTGAAGCCCTCGGTAATTTTACAAACTGACAAAGAGTCGAAGATAGTCCAAGAGATACAATCGGCCGAAGCGTTTAT